CGGGGGTGGGGGGGTGGGGGTGGGAATGGGGAAAGGTATAAGGGGAAGAACAATACAGGAAAAAGGGTGCTGAGATGAGGAAGGAAGCACACCTGAAGGTAAGAGAAGAAAAGCAGGTCAGAGTACAACGGAGCAGAGCAGCCTCAGAGAAAATGTCAGAAGCCTGCATGTAAACAAACCTATATTAACTTTGTCAAAACACTCACCTTCTAAATGAGAGCTGTAAGGATAACAGCAGCAACACCACTGCCAGGAAAACACCACTGAAAGGAAACCCTTCCAAAGGTACTCTAACAACTCAGCCTTGTCACTTAATGAGGACTGTGTACAAGAAGCATAGCTGGGCACACACCCTAGCACTAGAGAGGTAGAGACAGGTGGATCTCTCTGAGTTCGAGGCCAGCCTGGTCTACAGAGAGTTCCAGAACAGGCTCCAAAGCTACAAAGAGAAACTCTGAAAAGAAGCAATCCATATGCTATAAGGAGGCAGGATAAAATGAAGAAATGGATACCATGGATACCACCTGACTCACCAGTCACCTCTGTTGGATGCATGCCAATCAACTTTTTTCACAATAAAAGAATCATATACTTTATTAATTATTTTAATATTTTAAGATTAGATCTCACATTGTAGCTCAGGCTACTCACTATGGGGCCCAGGTTGGCCTTGAATTTACAGTAATCCTCCTTCCTTAGTTTCCAGAATGCTGAAATTATAAGCATGAGCTATCTGTCTTACCTGACTAGAATCTGACATTTTAAACATCTTGTTCTATAATAAAAACTTGCCTGAGACCTTATTGCTACGCTGAGGAATCCTAGGAGTGGCCTTCTAAGTCTTAACCCCCTGACACCACCCTTCGTAGTGGTGGGCTTACCGGGTTAGCTCCTCACGAAGATTGTTTGGTTCTGAGGAATAAAACTTAACTCGAAGATGAAGACAATAGGGTGAGCCAACTGCCATTAAGAAAAGAAAAGAGATTTAATTTTTATTGATTTACTAATTTTTCAGTCGGTGAATTTGCTGGAAATTACTGAAGTATAAAAGAAAAGATCAGATTATTGTAGCATTATTTCAAAGAAGAAAATCAGTAGAAATTTGACATAAAAGTTTTAGAGAGTACCAACCACAGTACAGCATTATCACATTCATCTGCCATCTCAGGACAGATGGCCCTACTTTAACTCTAACAGTTCAGGGTCAAATGCATAATCTTGAAGGAACAATCAAACAGCACGGAAAACCTGCTGAGCCACACTTTTAGTGAATGCCAAGGAATTAGTTACTGTTCAAGGCCAGGCGTCCCATACTTTCAAACTCAATCCAGTGCACTCACTAACTGCTGTGTTCTCAGCATCTGTCCAAGTATTTTATAAAGACAAGAATAAAACTGCCCTGCAGTCTGACACTACAGGGACAAGTCAGACTGTGGGGACTGGACACTTATTTCCCCAAGTTCTACCAAGTTAAGAATACTCCATTTTATGTGAATTACTTCATTTCACCACTTAAGACTTACTTTTAATTATGTGTGTATGTGTGTGTGGGGGGGTGTTATGTGCATGTACAAATGAAGGTGCCCCCAGAGTCCAGAAGAAGTGTCAGATCCCTTGGAGTTGGAGCAATAACAGTTGTGAACCACTGATACAGATGTTGGGAACTAAATGTGGGTCAGTATGTGCTCTTAACACCTGAGCCATCTCTTCAGCACTGTATCATTATTCTTCTTTTAAAAGAAATATAGGTTAGGGCTGGAGAGATGGCTTATTGGTTAAGAGCAGTTGTTGTTCTTGAAGATGACCTGACTTTGATTCCCAGCACCCATATGGTTCATAACTGTCCATAATTCCAATTCCTAGGGATCCAATGCCCCCCACCTTGCCCCCTTTTTCATTTTTTGAGACAGGGTTTCCTCTGTGTAGCCCTGGCTGTCTAGGAACTCGCTCTGTAGATCAGGCTGGCCTCGAACTCACAGAGATCTGCCTGCCTCTGCCTCCTGAGTGCTGGGACTAAAAGCATGTACCACCACCACCCAGCTCTAATGCCCTTTTCTGACCTATGAGAGCACTAAGCACACACATGGTTCACATATATGTATGCAGGCACAGCACTCATATACCTAAAATAAATAATTTTGAGAAAAACTTTTATAAGAATGATATGTCTCTGGTGCTTGTCACAGGCTATGTTAGCTGACTGCACAGGCATGTATTTCTTAGCCTAGGTTACTGTGCATAGTCTGTAGCATGATCTCCAGAAAGACAAGGGAAAAAAGTATTGCAGCCTTAGGGTCTAGAAGAAGGTAGAACCTTCCAAATCAAAAACAGACAAACAAAAGAAGAGGGAGGAAGCCTGGACAAAATATTAACAAGAGTATTATCTAAAGAAGTTATATATTCTGAAAGAATTCAATTCAAATATTTGTAAGCTGATAATATTTCTCCTACAAACTCAAATTACAAGATTGTTAAGTCTAGACTAATGTTAAACCTACATAAAGTGGGCACTGAATATCACAATGCTACAAAGTTTAGAAAGCAGACATGCTAGCCAGGCACAATAGACATCAGCAACACTTGCAGCACTTAAGAGGCTGTGGAAGGCTTCTGAGCTTGAGACCATCCTAAGCTATATCTTGAGACTGACTCTCAGCCTATCCAGCAAAAGCAGATGATAAAGAAACTCATAGGAAAAATGATTTTTTAATGCCCTTACTATTAAGAATTAGTGTTTCTGAGATATTTTATTTGCACTATTTCACAAATGATTTCTCAACACTTACTTTTTACTTGCTTTTTGATGCTTTTTGTACCATCCAACCAATGCTGTAAATGGAAAAATAAAGTTGAGTACTTACATAAATGGTACAACTTTAATGTTTAACAAGAGTTATTGCTTATTACAACTTTGTTGACAACCACTATACAGTATTTCACAAAGGAAAAGCCAAAGGGGATGAATTCTTTCAAATCCTCTTTAAAGGTGGCTCTTATGATGCAAACTATACCCTTAGTTTTCCCCGATGACCAAATTAATGGTTCTCTTGAAACTGTTAAACTAGAAGAGGGCTCAGCTATAGAGCACTGCCAGTACCACCATAAATAACACAAAACTTTTTGAGAAAAAAATCCCATTCCCTTATAAAACTCACCAGCAGAAGCTAACACAGAGCAGAGAAAATGTTACCTGAATTTTGCAAAATAGTGACTATTCAGTACTTGTTGAAAGAGCCTGAAGGGTTTAAAAGATGAGTTTTTTTTTTTTCAAAATAATGAAAATTTCTATCACACAAGCAGTCACTACCACTATCCCTCTGCTTTACGAATACAAATGTTTACACTTAGCAAGCAGTTCTGCTTTGAACCGTAACAGCGGCCCCCCCTTTTAGTATGCTGTTTTATTGTATACTATAACCAGTGTATATAAAATAGTTAAATCTTGTGAAACAGAAATCCATGAAAATTCAGAGAGGTAGATGCTCAGGACTGACAAGTAGAAGATTATATATTATGGCATGTGTTATGGAGAAGCTTCTGTACAGACTTCAGATTTAGTTCTCTTGAATATTCACTGGTTCATGAAGAGAGGTTTGAGAAACCTCAAGAAATATGACTACAAAAGGAGCAGACTTTTTGGGGTCTGAAGGGATTGTACTTGAAGACACTCCAGGCAGCAGAGGGTCATGTTGACTATTGGGCAAACAGAACTGTTTCAAGTCTGTAGCTACCTAGGAAACCTTCACATGGTTGAGCTTGGCCTCCAGCTGGAGCTGCTCAAACACCTTCTTCCTGGTGGTGACACTAGAAGAACCTGACATGGTACTCGTGACAGCCGTGCCGACTAGTCAGTCTGAGTGAGGCAGCAACAGCCTTTTAATTTCTATAACCTCTTCACTGGGAATGCTCATAACACAAACAAACCTGAAACAATTCCTGAAGTTTCCACTGACAAAGCATTCCCAGCTCATTACAAACCCCTTACATCAGGCCCTCACAGCAATAGGCCACATTGGTTCAACTACATTAACACACGGACGAGCTCACTTCAGCATGCTTTCAATTCCAAGCATCACAAGAAGGGAGTGCTCTTGTGTTAACTAGTCCACAGGGCCAAGGATGCAGTTTCAGCAATCCTGCTGGGCAAAGAATAAATAAGGCTGCACTGCTACCAGCACTTTGTTTGCATTCCTTACCTATTATTTGCCTAAGCTTTTCTTTCCTTTCTTCTTCAAGGTCCTGATGTGAAATTCACAGAGCTCTTACTGTGGCAGCATAGTGCCTGTCTACCCTCGAATAAGATGTTCTGTAAACATCTCAGGCAGGGACTACACAATGCTTTCTATCTTAGTTCTGATAGTGGGGGAAGATGGCACCCAGGGCCTCAAATATGCTAGACAAGAATCCTGCCACATCCTAGTCCTATGTTATGTTTCCTCTAGATTCCAAGTTGTGGAGGCTACCTGGCCATCTCATTTAATACATTATTGGCTACCTCCCCCAAATATATTTCAGCATGGCAAATGTTCAGTTATACAAATCTTACTGGCAGGCAGAAAACAGACTGGAAATGGCTTCAATCTGGGGCAGCATATAATGCTTTCATCTTGGCCCAGAAACCCAATATGCAAATATCCCAGACTCAAAGTGGCCTAATGCCATTATACACTGAACATGAAATAAAAATGGTTTTTGGGTCTAGAATGTTTTCTTTCAGAACCACAGTCCTGGAAGTTGCCCAGACTCTTACTGTAGTTGTGGGAAAAACAAAAAAACCAAACCAAAACAAAAAATCCCCAAGCCCCATGGCTAGTCACCTGGGTATTGTCTCAGGCAGCCCCCTTGTACATGGCACTGAGCACAAATGAGCACACCCCTGCCAGGCAGCAATTTTTACTAGTAGACAGTAGTGAATGCCTTCAAGAACTCATGTCAGACTCAGAAATGAATGCACAAAGATTTTCTTACAAGGCATCCCACAAGAAAAATACATTACAACCATCCAGTAACAGACTGGTTAAAACATTTAAATATGACAAAAGCATAATGAAAATTAAAAAAATGAAAGCAAATACTCAAAAGATCTGAAACAGATACTGCTATTTTTTTGGGGGGGATGGGTGGTTGAGACAGGGTCTCTCTACATAGTCCTAGCTGTCCTGGAACTCTGTAGACCATGTTGACCTTGAACTTCTGCCTCTTCCTTCTGAATGCTGAGATTAAAAGTATGCTACCATGCCTGGCCATACTACTATGTGTTAAAGGACTCACTGTAAAGTATTATAAATTATTTCATCAAAATGTATATTCTTTTGGAGCGAGATAACAATTAATTATAAAATAGTAATTGACATTACTGGTGAGGGGATGGAGAGATGGCTCAGTTAAGAGCACTGGCTGCTGCTCTTCCAGAAGACCTGGGTTCAATTCCCAACACCCACAAAGCAGCTCACAACCATATGAAACTCCATATGATGACTTCTTTTGCCCTTAATGGCCAACATGTGGTGTATAGACATCCACGCAGTCAAAACATTCATACACAAAAAAGGAACACAAACAAAACTGAAAAAAATTTAAAAGATTACTAGTGTTAATAACACAATTTGTTGCTAAGAATAACAGTTCCTTTGTTATAACATTTGATATAGACAATCATATGGATTTTGGGGAGTAATAGTAAAAAGCATGGGCTACAGTGATGATATCTTAGAAGTTATGAGCACTTGATTTGCTTTCAGAGAATCTGAGTTCAGCTCCCAGCAACCATGCCAGCTGGTTCACCTGTTACCTCCAGCTCCAGCGAATCCAATGCCCTCTTCTGGCCTCCATGGGCACCAGTACTCACATACCCTACACACACATACATTAAAAAACATACACAGTCAACAGTCTCACCACCCCCAAGATCTGTCCCCTATAAACAGTATGCATTTCCCCAGATATGAATGGTTGCAACTTATTCCTTCTCAACTTCCTTTATTGGAAGAAGAATTTCTCTTTGGTGTGCCTGTATTTGAAGAACAGTTAACAGTACACTGAAAATCAATAAGCTAATTATAACTATCCTTTCCACCCACTTTGTGACAAGATCTGACTGTGTAGCCCTGGCTGGTCTGTATCTCCCTATGTAGACCAGGTTGGTCAACATCTCATGGAAATCCTCCTGCCACTGTCTCCTGAGTGTTGGGATTAAAAGTGTGCACTGAGATTTAAGGTATGCACTATCATGCTTGCCAATTAATTATACATTTTGAGGAAATATAAGAAGGAAACAGGTCACTTACTGAAACCATTCCCAGTTGTTAAGAAATCTCTTCCTACTTGGATCTATTCAAGACTAGTTTCAGGACCATTAAGATTGCTCAGCAGGGAAGGGCACTTGCTGCCAGCCAAATCTGATGACTTAGACTTCTGGGACCAGAGTGGAAGAGAAGCAGACTCCCCTAAGTTGTCCTTGAGTTCCACATTCGTATTATGTAGGCACTCACTCGAACACAAAATAAAGTGTAAAATAAAGTATAATAAAGTATAAAATAATAAAGTATAAAAACAAAATCCAAAAGGCTATTCTCACGATTACACTTTTTCATGCTTATCCATGCTCTACCATTACACACAAAGTTATCCCAGCAGAGGAAGGGCTGAAGGTGTATACCTAGCAATAATTCCAGTCTTCTCTACCAATTCTAGTACTCCAGCCCAATGAGGCAACCAAACAAACACATTTTAAAGTGCGATTTAGGAGCTGGGGGAGTCCCGAGTCACTGTTCTTATTAGGAAGGTCTGAGTTCATGTTTGCAGATTCTCAAGTCTGTTTTCTTTTATCTCCTCCACATTCCAAGAGCAGGGACTGGAAAATTCAGAGCTCAGACAGGCTCTGATGCACTTCCTAGAATCAGGGTCTCTGAGAGTCATGTTTATACTGCTAAGAAGATAAAGGTGGAAGGCATGCAGATACAGACTCTTGGGTGCTGAATATAAAACTAAAGTAGTTCACACCTTAAAAAGAAAACAAATTTCCCGACTTCCCATTTTTTTAAAGTTTAGTTGATATGCAGAAAGCTGCATTTCCTTTCACCCTCAGGAGTTGGCTATATAAGAACAACATACTCATGTCTTTTTTTCTGTTTTCTTTTCTTTCTTTCTTTCTTTCTTTCTTTCTTTCTTTCTTTCTTTCTTTCTTTCTTTCTTTCTTTCTTTCTTTCTTTCTTGTTGTTTATAAGACAGGGTTTCTCTGTGTAGCCCTGGCTGTCCTAGAACTTACTCACTCTGTAGACCAGGCTGGCCTCTAACTCACAGAGATTCATTCACCTGCCTCTGCCTCCGGAGTGCTGCGATTACACCATCTCCTGGCTTACTCATGTATCTTAAAAGACAATAACATATAATCACAAACAACAGATGTAACTAAACCAAAGAATCACCTAGGAAGCTTCTAAAACATCAACACACACACACACATACGTACGTACGTCCCAGGCCCTCCAGCCAAATAGTGTACAAACAGCTGTTGAGTAAGCCCAGCCTTTGAACACTCACCCAGCTCACTGAAGAAACACACCACTAATACTCAAAAGGGAAAGAGTCTAAAGCATAAAAATGTTAACTATCTTTCAAAACAGTCGCTATAAGAAATATCTCTGTGAACAGAGGCATTTTTAACATTTTAAAACTATTTTAGAAAATGTTAAAAAAATATATGCTAAGAAAACAGGATTTGTAATGGAAGAACACTTCTGTTTAGTCTAGATGATAATTATTCCCAAGTGACTGCTTTTCTTAGTGTTAACAGTCTCTCAAAAGTCATTTCAAATGAAAACTTAGAC